GTGTTCACGGTTTCACATGTCCACAGGGAAACGTGAAATCCTTGCTCCTTGCTGTATAATAGTATAGTAGATGAAACGTCTTACATCGAATGGGGTGCAAAATGCTTAGTACCTTAGCCGTTAATAGGAAATTTTCTTCCATGGTGAGCTCCATATAATCATGGTCAAGCCCAAGTGTAGTGATATCAGCTGGTGCAAAAAGTTGGAACACTGGCAGCCTTGCCTTTCCTATAATAAAAAATAGTCATTTAGTGAAATATTGTACATAAATCTTTTGTGATACCTGCGGTACATTGTAAAAGATTTATATTGTTAAAACATTTATTACTGTTCAAGTATTTGCCCATAATGCAAATAAGTTATTTCAAGTATATATTTGTTGGAAAATCCCCAAAAAAGGTACCTGATAGTTGAGAACCACTTGTCTGAAGTGCTGCTGAATTTGTTGAGGGTCTCGTCTCGTCGTGGGCCTTGGGTCATAAATCAAGCTCCGTGATTTGCCACGTACTTCGTTGAGACGCCTCATCTTCATTGGGCTGCCCTTGTGCGGTTTTGCCTGATGGAAGCTTTGCAAGACCTATAAACACAAAATACGACCCTAATTCATTAGGTTTACATGTTGAGGCAGAAAAATAGCACAGATTTTTAGTGGGAGCAAAGTTAAGCAAACACTTGTTCCAAAATGATGTGAAACAATATGTCAACAGCAGTTAAGGGATTTTTATTTTATCAGAGTACAACTAGAAAATGCAATAATGAGTTTTACCTGAGTACAGGTGACCTCTGTAATGATGGTTGCAACCTCGCAGAACTGGGATAATGCATGAAGAGTGCACCCAACATGCTTACAATGTGCTGAAGGACCTTGGCCGACAGCACACTCGCATTGCGTTTCCAGAACTACACCATTACTATCGAGTTTAATGTCAACTTTGTAGGATGTAGTCTTCTTCATCTCTGCCCAGACAGTTGATGTTACAAATGTATGATTAGCAACCACACAAGATCTAACATACCGGACGTATGATAAGAAGCTTGGAGACCTTTATAAGGAAAGGTGAGACTTAAGCCTAATTAAAGAAAATTTTCACATTTTCAACAATTGTCTGCTAAATATCTGCTTCTAAAAAACAAATTATTTGCTTTATTTCAGGTATCTATTGTCACAGCATTTGAAGAAATCTTCTATGCGCTGTCTTTTAACAGCTGGAAACTCCGAATGGATCCCAGCATGCATATCCTTGTATGAGTTTGGCTCCGGCAACGTCATGTGGAATTCCACTGCTGGGCCGGCTCGTCTTTTTTTCCAGCTCTGTCATCAAATAACAACCTAGAAATATGGAATGAAAAAAGACCATTCTTTATAATAGTCTATGCCCGTTAGGGGCTGGTGAAACTCACATGCACACGTAATAATATCCCATGTAACGTATCATGAGTGTATAAATGTTCCCACCACGTTTGAAGAGGATCCGTTGAGCGGTGCGGAAACGTACTACTACTAATAAGTAATAGTAATACTATACCGGACACACAGACACACGCTGACACAGACAGTAATTTCCCAATTTATAGTAAGATGAAGCGTAACTTCATTGTTATTGGCCAGTGCAAATATTTAAACATTTAAAACTTACATTAAATAAGCGTTTTGAGAGAAATACCATTCGAATGATATGCCAATGGCAATGTTCGCCTAAACTAGGCCTAGTAAAGACTAAATACCCCCCTAAAGGGAAAATCATATAGGTCTACTCATAGTCATAGAGCCGGCCCATAGCCATAGGCATAGGTAAAAAGCCCAGTTAACATTAGAAGAGTTATTACCGTGCAACCAAGTCCTTTTTCTTTCCTGTAACTTTAAGTCTGCGAGCACGCATCATATCTTTCAATTCCTGAAGAGTTTTATGACAGTATACGTCACTTTCATCAAAATCCATCGTAATCTTTGTTCATTCAGCGAAAAGCCTTGCAGTATTTATGTCGACTCAACACTTGACAACGGTGTAAACAAACGGAGCGAGTGTCGTACCTTACGCCCGCGCCATCTGGTGTTAACGATCTGCCGGTACCCCATTGACGTGGCTTAGCTACGGCGCTCGTACATCGACTTTCTATTTCNACACACACACACACACACACACACACACACACACACACACACACACAGGAACGAGTTTCTGGGCACCTGCTGGACCTCGCATACGAACCCCGCCATTACACTATGTACCTGATGACGGCCGTATTATAGTAATTACAAGTCCACCTGTGCCACACGATAGATATGCCACAACAGCACCGGTGCACGCTCATAATCAATTTTTATATACGTATATATATATACCGTCGCTACAATGCAACGCCTATTGATTAACAGAAACGGTGCCATCCATTTTGTCGGCGTTTATATGGATATGTGAACATGCATGCAATGGCTCCTTATTAAATATATATATATATATATATATATATCCAGGCGCGGTTGGTAAAGGAGCGATGATGAACGACAGCTATATATAGCTGCTTATATAACAACATACATTACCGAATCGTGCACACCTCGACAATCGAGTCACCACGCAACCGGGGAGCTATTTTTTTACCCTGAGGCGAATTTTTTGAGCGTTTTGAAAGGGGGAATCATTAAGACTGAACGAGCGAGACCTACGTATGATAATTCAAGGGCATGTTATTTCTAAAAAAATTCAGCAGTCATAGTCGGGCGACATCCTCAGTTGGGTGTAAAGATATTTGAAAAAAAATTCCTAGGAGTTTGGAATACTTGGCACGATGGCGGCGACGACGAAAAGGGATATTTGTGAATTAGATTATTATTAGAACACGATGTTTATTATTATCACTCAATAATTTATTTTGAATTTATTCGATAACACACCTTAGCCGTCTTTGCGTGGATATTGTGTGTGTGTGTGCGTGCGTGTGTGTGTGTGTGCGTGTGCGTGTGCGTGCGTGTGCGTGCGTGCGTTCGTGCGTGCGTGCGTGCGTGTGTGTGTGCGTGCGTGTGCGTGCGTGCGTT